GCATGGAGGGGGTTCTGTACAAGTGGACCAACTATCTCACAGGTACCCGGCGGGCGGCGCGGGGCTGTGGGCCACCGGGTCCTCGCTCGCCTCCTCTCGAGCCTCGGCACTCAGGTCCCCTCCCGACCCTCCCCACTCTCTGCCCCTTGTTGGGGCCCATTCCGGGCCGCTCCGACGGGGAGTTCGAGACTGCTCACCATCCCGCGGATGGGACACGCACCAGACACCTGCATGGCATCACTTGTGCCTCAGCTCAGGAACAGTCCCTCTTCACCCTAAGTGTGTCGTTACAATCTCTGCTTTCGCATTTTGTGAGTTGATGTGTGTGTGTGTGTATCACATCATTTCATTTTAAGATATGTTCTCTATATTCCTTTACGTTTTCTTACCACTGGTTTGAAAGTCCACTTGTTGATGTTGTCTGAGCTCATCAGGTGTGGTTTGGGAAGCTATTCTTAGAATGTTTTTAGGGATTGGTTTTCAAGTGAGGTTTGGGAATCCGGGTAATTGTGAGACGTAGTGGGGGAAAGCGCATTTCAACACCATGGGAATGCGGGTCATTGTGAGGAATAATTGGAAATGCCACACAGAAGGAGCAGGCAAGTTTCACTGGTTGAGATAGATAGAAGAAATGTTTGTAGAGGAATGTGATCAGCCGCTGGAAACTGCCCCTGATATTGGAAGTGTAGCCTTTTCTTAAAAACACCTTAACCCAAATCCTGTGATCTCTGCTATAACCAATACTTACAGGCAAGTGTAGTATTCTTTCAGGATCCCGATTGGCCAAGGCCTGGGTGGTTAGCTATTTTGTCCCAGAGATACCTTCCAACTTCTGAATCTCATGATCTCACCAAGCTAGAGTAGGACTGGCATCGGTAAGGGAAATTTGGGCAGTACTCAGATTCTTAGTCCCGAGGAACAGTCTCTGACTTGCTGCCCACTTATTCTGCGCCAGATATTGAGCCCCGTCATCATTCTGTGATGCACGGAACTCGTGTCTGCCTATCTTGTGGGAATCTGCAGGTTAAACCCTGTAAGGGCTAAATGCGTAGGCGTATCTGGCTAGAGCGGCTTAATATTTGTAATACGCTGATGGTTTCTGCTCAAACGAAAAAGCCAAATAACCATGTAATGGACACGTTTTTACTGGAACCAGTAAGACATTAGGCAGATAGTTTTTCTAAGAGTTTTCATTTGGGCAGTTGTGAGCACAGATTGCTGGTTGAGGCATGTTAACACAGAGTCCCACAGCCTCTCTAAGCTTGGAGGTGCAAATACTTTTGAGCACTCTGTCCTTGGAGGAAATGCCAGAGGAGTCTTTTCTGCTTGGCCCAAAGCAATGGGCAGTTACTGCCACGAGTCCTAATTGAAGGGGAAATTTCACTTGGGGTGAAATGTGTTCTTGTGGGAGGTGTCCTCTCTCTCGGCCTGGGTGCCAGCACATGCTGGGGTTTTAGTTTTTAGGGTGCATTTTAGCTTAACTTCTAGTAAGCATTGTAGAATTGGCTGATGTGAAGTCTTTGGTTTGGAGTAATTCTGTTTAAAAGATGTCAAGTTGGCTCTGCAGTGTGTTTGTTTATTTTAGTATCTCTCGGGTCGGAAGGACGAGCAGCTGTTCACCCTGGCTGGTCTTTAAGGACTTCAGTGTAATGACAGTGTTAGTTCTGACTTTTCTTGGCTAGCATGTGTTTCCGTAACATTTAGTAGTTTGAGAAAACTGCTCGTTAAAGTAGAAATTGAAACAGGAAATAACCTACCAATCCTTTTTACTGTACTATGAAAGTGTGAACCAGTTAGGGAGAGTTAGATTAAGTATTTCTTCGAAAAGGTGGGTAGAGATAATTAACAGGCTTGATTAGGTGAATACACTCAACCACCTGACTTTCTCAGTTCCTGCAAATTCTAAATGGATCGTTTTTTGCTCACAGTTTGCTTCGAGGAGCAGTTGCATCATAATAATGCAATAATGCACAGTAATGCTTTTCAAAAACCAAACCTTACGTTACTGGCCTAGGTGGACCTGAGGTGGAAGCCTGTTTTTCCACCACCTCCTCTTTATAATTTGCCACAGTGAATTAGTACTTAGAAAAATAATATAGTCATTAATTCATTCTTTTAAGTCATTGTAGACATACACTAAAAAATTATTTTCATTGTATTTTCTTGCACAGGCTCGGCCAATGCTGTCCCCACAGCCTTTTTTATTTTTACATTTTTCTAGACTTTCCTGCATGAGTACTGTACTTAAATTACTTCCACCCTACTCTTCTCTTCCGTGCTTATTTATATGTATTTATGTGTGTGTGTGTGTGTGTGTGTGTGTCTGTGAGTGAATGCATGGGTGCACCTCAAGCATTCACAGGTGGTTGTGAGCAGCCTGATGTGGGTGCTGGGAACTGAACTTGGATCCTCTAGAAGAGCAGTGTGAGCTCTCAATGGCCTAGCAATCACTTTAGCCTTGAGAAACGCATCTGTCTTTTAAAAAGTACCTGTTGTATGCTGGGAATCGTTATGCAGTGAGGAACAAGATAATGTCCAAATACCAAAAGAGTTTTCCTTTTTTGGCAGCCCTCCCTAGGGAATGCAGTGTTTACACAAATGTATTTTCCTGGGGCCTGAAGTTTGCTTGCTTTATCTTTCTGAACAGGTGGGTATAACATCCCTCGTCTTCCTAAGCAAGGTATAGAAGGTAAAATTTAACCTGTTTGTGCCAACTCGGTGTCTTCCTGCTGTGATAAAATTTACTGATAAAAGCAACTTAAGAAAGAGGGGTCTGTTTGACTCACAGTTTAAGGCTATAATTTAGTCTTACTGGGAGGTCACAGAAGCAAAGGCAGTGACTTATGTCGTGTCCGAAGTCAGAAGAGAGCAATGAGTCCATGCTAGTGCACAGCTCTGTTTGCGTTTTGTATCATCCATTCTCCCCTGACCAGGAATAATCCTGCACACAATTAAGAAGGGTCTACACACTTCAATTAATGTAATCAAGACAGCCCACTTCAGGCCCACCTGGAAGATTTTGTCAACTTGATAACAGTAACCATAACACAACATTGTTATTTCAAAAGTATTGGTGAACCCTAAGTTTTATGTCTTGTGTCAGTTTATAAGAAGGAGGGTGTTCTGTCTTGGTACTGTCTGATCCTGGAAAACGTGGGCTGATGAATTAATTGGTCAGCAGCCTCTGGTCGCCATGTTTAATGGTGGCCTGTTTCCTTTAGACCGCTGACACTGTATTGTGACGTAATAGTGATGGAAGGAGTAAGGACAGTCCCCCTGCTTCCAGCATGGTCACCGTGTTGTCAGGCGAGGACCTGCTGTCTATTAGTGCCATGCTTGATAAGATTCCAGGGAACTCGAGTCTAGCTTTCAAGAGGCATGAAGAGGAAAAGCCATCACCCCTGGTTACAGACTTTGCCTTGGAGCCAAGTCTAATGGGTGTATGCTTTAACTGCTGAGGAAATGTCAGTGAGCTGAGTGATTGAAGTGAGTAGCATTTCTGCCTTAGCATCAGAGAAGGGAATGGGGGGGGGGGGATCTGCTCTATCTACAGGCTATCACGTCTGCGTAAGAAATGGGAATTTCTTTCGCTTTCCCGCTGTTCAAGGGCATTTGCTTAAAGGCGGTGTCTTCTGTCAGGGAGGGAAGGCCACGTTGCATACTCGAGCCTTGGTCCACTTGTTCAGGCCACTTGTTTTGAAGAAAGAATTTTGGAGACTTATTGGGATGAAAATATTTACTCTAGGTTAGCTGTCAAGAATGGTAACAGAACTGAGGCAAAACCTCTGTTTTCTGTAGTTTTTTTTTTTTTTTTTTCCCATTATGAGATGAGCAGCTTTAATCTGAAATGCTCCCAAACCCAAAGGTTTGTAGGTGCTGAAGGGACACTCTTAAGTGGAACGTGCCACACCTGACTTCATTCCATAGGGCACAGTCAGAAACAAAACTATTATATAAAATTACTTGTAGGTGATGTGGCATGAACTTCATGTTTAGATTGGATCCCATTCTTCGTATTTCTCATCATTATGCATTTGCAAATCCAAAATCCAACATCTGAAACTCTACTAGTTCCAAACATTTTGGAGAAGAAATGATATTTCTCCATTATAATCTGTTCTCCTACATGAAAAGGGGCAGTTACGCTGTGCTTGGATGGAGCTGTGGTTGGGGCTGCATCTTTTGGGATGTTAAAGAGACGGTTGTGAGTTAGAACAAAAATAGTCCTTTCTTATCTAGCCAAAGATCGCAGGACATTTTGGGCAAGTGTTGGCCATTAAAAATTTCATTGTGTGACTGTTTCTGAGAGTCCAGAATTAATGTGGCATGGCTGAAACCAGTTTTTTTATGATGTAAAAATAATTTATTAACCTGTTTGGATTTCTGGCCTCCACAGGTTGGCAGCCTCGATGGTTTGTTCTGGATAATGGAATCCTGTCCTACTATGACTCACAGGATGATGTCTGCAAAGGGAGTAAAGGAAGTATAAAGATGGCAGTTTGTGAGATTAAAGGTGAGGAACCATGGGGTTCTAGAGTCTGCGTCAAATGAGGGAAATAAGTGTGTGCTGACCGTCTTCATATTTTCAAATCCTCTTTTTAAGGAATCAAGGATAGCGTTTAACAGTATTAACAGTATTAACATTATTGATACTCCCCCCTCTAAATGTTTCCTGCATTGAAGCTTCTCATGCTTTTTCCTGTTGGACTTGATAGATCATTTCTTGTAGCGTCTAGATACTTTCTGTTTCACCCTCGTGGAAAGATTTCGGAAAGGTGGAAGCTGAGCTCTGTAGATGAAGCAGGCCATCTCTGTGGGGCCTTGATAAAGTGCAGAGTAGAAGTTAAAAGCTGACTGCAGCTGAGCATTTGTGGATAACACAGATGGCTTCCTTTTCTTCCAAAAGGGGACTAATAGAGTAGTAGGTCATGGTCTGATTTTCCTGGAGATATGAAAACACACTTATTATGTGTGGTTGAGGTGTGTGGAGGAAGGTGGGTAAAATGAAATCAGATAAAATGATAATGAGGAGATTTCAATTCTTCAGGGGAGCTGAAAGGGACACAACACCGGAGGAGTTAATGTTTAGTCCCCTCCAGGCCTTTTTCATGTCCCGTCACAGCTTGAGTACTTCAGTCCTGCATGAGGGCTTGCGCTCAAAGCCACCAAATACCCAGAGGCATCCTGTTGTCCTGTCTGTTTGCTTATTTGAGATTAATGCAGTGAGCTACATTTTCCAGGGCTAGAGTCTACTTTGGCATGTTTTTTGGTAATTGTAAGTAAGATAAGTCAAGGAGGGAAGAAAATTTCCTTCCTTCCTTCCTTCCTTCCTTCCTTCCTTCCTTCCTCCCTCCCTTCCTCCCTCCCAGTGTGTAGCCTAGGCTGGCCTGGAGAGCTTAGAAGAAAGTTTGAGATAGCCTAGTTTTTGTAGTGAGTTCCAGGCCAGCCTCAGCTTCATAGTAAGACCTTGTCACAGGCAGACAGATTAATAAGCAAGTAAATGCCAAACAAATGAAAATTAAAGATCTGCTATAATCCACTTCCCTGTATTGAACTTGGTATTTAATTTCTCTGAGGAATGCTTTGTATTTGGGTTTAGTGATCTTGTTGGTGTGGCCCCCATCTACCTGCCCCTTCTCCCGGAAGTGATATTTTGGAAACATCATTTTTTAACTGTCTTTGCTCAGATGGCAGTGTTGAAACTCTAGTGTGAGTAAAGGTGAGTCGTCTGTTTTACTGTCATATGCTGGCATTGCTTTGGTACCATGGCCACCTTGGGTGTTAGGGAGAGGGTGGTTTCCACGGTGTCTCTGGGGCTTCTCAGAGAGTGGCCCTGATTGTGTCGTGTGTCCTGGTTTAAGTCTGTGCAGCCTCCACTACTACGTGGTGTGACCCCTCCAAATGCTTTGAGTCTGTAACTGTAGTTCTTCTTTGTGTCACCACAGTCCACCCAGCGGACAACACAAGAATGGAATTGATCATTCCAGGGGAGCAGCATTTCTATATGAAAGCAGTAAATGCCGCCGAGAGACAGAGGTGGCTGGTCGCCCTGGGGAGCTCCAAAGCCTGTCTGACTGATGCTAGGACTGCGAAAGAGAAAGGTGATTTTCACAGGTTTCCTGTAATAACTAACGGCTTTCTAGGCATGAATGAACCTGTCTGCTCTCCGTAAGTAACCAGAAGGAAATTAGTAATTTAGAAGACTGACATCAGTAGATCACCGTAGTAAGAACTCTGTAAACAACGCAAAGGTCTAAGTTGAGGAGAATCAGTTGGTAAACTAGTGCTTCGGTCAGCTGATACATTCTGAGGCCAGTAAAGTGTTTGCAATGGAGTTTAGTGGTGTGGCAAACTGTGGTTAAGTGGCCATTGGCAAAGCAGGAGGACAAGGACCTGAGTTCAGCGCACAGCACTCATGTAAAGAGCCAGTCGGGGTGGCACGTGCTTATAATCCCAGCCCTGATGAGCTAGAGACCAGAGGATCCTGGGGCTCACTGGACAGCCAGCCCAGCTTAATTCTGGAGCTCCAGGTCAGTGAGGGACCCCATCTTAAAAAGGGGGACACTCTTCCAGAGGCTGACTCTTGAGTTTGTGCGTTTGTATACATGTATGCATATAAGGAATTTTTAAAAATTAAAAACAATATTAAGTAAGTTTAGTGAAAACTGCTGAATTACAGGTGATAGAAAATGCAAGAATTTATAATGTTATTCAGCTACATTAAAGAAATTATTGATAAAAGTGTGGCTAAGATTAGGATAAGAAGTAGCCAAAAGATAGGCTCACTCCAAATTTCTAGAGATACCTGAGTAAACAAACAGATGTGGTGCCTGTACAGTGGAATATGATTCATCCTTAAGAGGGAAGGGAATTCCGGCACGTGCTACACGATAACTTTAATGACATGTCTGAGTGAAATAAGCCTGTCAAAAAAAGAGAAGCATTGATTGCACTCATTTCACATAATAGGATAATGAGATTTCTATAGACAGAAAGGAGAATGGAACCAAGTAGTGGTGCACACTCAGTTAGGCTTCTGAGGCAGGAGGGTTTTGAGTTTGAAGCTAGTTGTGGCTACATAATGAGACTGTCTAAATAGGTAGATAAAGTAGAAAGAAAAAAGAAAGTAAGAAAAAGAAAAAGAAAGAAAGTAAAATATTGGTTAGCGCCTACCTGGAGGAGGAACAGGTTAGTGTTTAGTGGGTACAGAGTTTCTGTCGGGAAAAATAAAAATTTATCTAGGTGGACAATGGTCATGGTTGCACAGCATTTGAATGTTCTTAATGTCACTGAACTGTTCACTTAAAAGGATAAATGCACGAGAGCGCGAGTGCGTGTACACACACACACACACACACACACACACACACACACACACACACACACACACACACACACACTTTTAATGGAATGGGCTGGAGAGGTGGTGCAGTTGAATGAAGTGCTTGAGAGCTGGAGTATGGATTCCAGAATCCACATAAAAGGAATCTTACCTGCTGATGGGTGTGGCTGCCTGCTGTGTGTGGCTGGAGCCTGCAGAGGCAAGCCAGCTAGCTAGACTGGCTGAAAGGGACGCTCCAGGCTGAGTGAGAGACCCTGCTTCCGTTAATAGTGAAAGAGCAGTTGAGGAGAGGCACCTGATGTCAGCCTCTGGCCTTGACCTCTGTGCACCTGTGTGTGCATGCTACCACACACATGCGCAGCACCCTCTGTCCCCCACAAGAAGAGGAATGCACGAAATTTGCCAAGAATTGGTTTAGGTCAGTGCAGAGTGCTGCTCTGCTGTGTTTTCTGCCAGGAAGCAGCGCCCCTGGCCTGGCTCAGACTCCTCTGAAAGACCAGCATCTGCTATGTGGCCGCTGTTTTCCTTCCTCCGCAGCTTTTGTGTCTACTTTAAAAGATAATGGCCAGTGAACAGCTGAGATGCTGGCTGGATCCGTAGTTCGTCCAGAGTCACTAAGGAGAAGAAAGTGAGCGCTGCATTAAACATTCCAAGAACAGTTAAATGTGAAAATGGAACCCAAAGGAAGAGAGTTAATAGATGTTTCAAAGATTTCTCACCTCAAGCTGTAACACAGTTTGTGTTTGTTGCCTGTGTGTGTGTGTGTGTGTGTGTGTGTGTGTGTGTGCGCGCGTGCGTGTTGTGTGTGAGCATGTGGACACGTGGAGGCCAGAGGCTTATCTTGGAAGTGCTCCTTGGCTGTTCTCCACCTTATTTTTCTAACAGGATCTTCAGCTGAACCTGGAGCTCAAGGATAGGGGTACACTAGCTGGCCAGTGAGCCCCCAGGGTCCTGGTGCCTTCACCTTCCCAGTGCTAGGGCTACAGACCACCACTGGGTCCAGCGTGTGTATGTGGGTTGTAAAGATCCAACTTCGGTCCTCAGGTTTATGCATCAAACATGTTGTCGACTGAGCCGTTTCCTTAGCGTCTGTTGTCTGCTTTTAAAACGGTTGTTTTATTGTAATAGCAAAGAATATGAAAATGATGTAATTGGATATTTATATGTGTTTCTTTTAGAAATAAGTGAGACCAGTGAATCTCTGAAAACCAAAATGTCTGAACTTCGCCTCTACTGTGACCTCCTAATGCAGCAGGTTCATACAATCCAGGAATTTGTTCACCACGACGAGAGTCATTCATCTCCCAGTGTAGAGGTACTGCAAAGGGGTCCTGTTTGCTTGGGATCAGACTGCACCACGTACCGCCCTGGGGGTATCCTTCGCCATGCCATAGGATGATGGAAACGTCATCACAGAGTTCCATGCAGTTGTTCAGAGCTTCCTGCTGTGGCCTCCACAGGGCTGTCTGAAATCTGTCTCTGTGCTAGATGCAAGCATCCAAGCAGCTGAGTCTCCAGGGAGTCAGGGCTTGTCTCTGCAGCCCCTCAGTAGTTTGGAGATGAGGCTTAGGGAGAAGTGTTCTGGCCTCTGTTCTCTGGGCCAGTTGCATGAGTACCGTGGATAACTTCTGGTTTGTTTTTTCTCGTAGTGATAAGGTCTTTAAATTTAAATTCAATTTAAATTTTCCACTTGATTCTCAGGATGTGCCTGATTTCATGGTTGAGTATGAGTCTGCTCAGTCTTTACTTGTGCTCTTCCAGAACATGAATGAAGCCTCTTCCTTGCTTAGTGCCACCTGTAATACATTCATCACAACCCTTGAGGAATGTGTGAAGATAGCGAATGCCAAGTTTAAACCTGAGATGTTTCAACTGCCTCATCCGGATCCCTTGGTTTCTCCTGTGTCGCCTTCTCCTGTTCAGATGGTTGGGACTTCTTGATTTTCTTCTAGGAATATAAATATATTTACATTAAATTAAAATGAATTGTTTTGTGGTGTGAGTGTATTGTTTGTGTGTGTTTGTGTTGTGTGTGTGTGGTGTGTGTGTGCTTGTGCATGTAGATTGGAGTTCATTGTCAGGTGTGTTCTGTTGCTCTCTTTCTATCTTATTTTTTGAGACAGTCTCTCACTGAACAAGGAGCTCATCGGTAGTCTAGACTGGTGAGCTCTGGGCATCAATTTCCTTCCCTGTATGTGGTTACAGGTGCACACCCCCATGCCTGTCTCCTTCCCTGTGTGAGGTTGCAGATGCACACCACCACGCCTGTCTCCTTCCTTGTGTGAGGTTGCAGATGCACACCATCATGCCCTCTCCTTCCCTGTGTGAGGTTGCAGATGCACATCTCCATGCCCTCTCCTTCCCTGTGTGAGGTTGCAGATGCTGATGATCGGAACTCAAATCTTTAGAGGCAGGCATTTTACTGACAAGCCACAGTCTCAGCCTCTCCTCTTCTTCTTCTTCTTGAAAGAGTGGAAGTGGGAAGTGGGGAGGGTGTAGTCCCCAGATTGAATTGCTTTTGTCTGCGCTGGTAACAGGTCCTCTCCGCTGCGGAGCTCAGCACGTGCAGTAACGCCTTGGTCTCTCCACGTGGAAGGGCCTGAGAATGGCCTGCCCTGCCTGTGTGTCCAGAAGGCGTTATATGTAGTGCGGTCTGTGTTGCAGGAGAGGCACACCTGTGTGCTTGATAAAAGCTTTTGACAGAGTGATGTTTGACTCTCGAGGGGTGTGTTAATGTCCAGTGGGAACTGGTCTGCAGCCAGCATCTGTATTTGAATTCTGAGTAGGCAAGTTACTTCACTGCTCTGGTTCTTCACCTGTGGAATGTTCTGTGGCCGGAGGTCATTGTGAAGGATCTGAGCCATTTCGTGGGAGGTGCTTAATGTTAGCTTCTTGATTACTCTGCACACCAAGACCTCTTTGCCGGAGGTGGTGAACTCCCTGTGCTTTTCCTGCTCTTAAGTCTGCTCTGGCATGCCGTGAGGAGCCTCTGCTGAGATAAGGTTTGCGAGCATGGCGTGGTTTTCCTTCAAGTGTGCTCAGGAGCCTGTTGGTAGGAGGAGGCACGCACCTGGCTGTTTTCACCATTCCTGGATGAGCCTGGTGAGCAGAGGGCCCAGCTCACTCCTGTGTTCTCCCACCCACCCCAGGCAGTTCAGTTGTGTAGAGGGAGTAAGGGCAGGGCCTACGGTTATTTATTTAAGACTGTCTTCATCGATGAACATTGCACTGATAGAGTCCGTAAAGTAAGGGGTTTAGTCAGATGTCCTAGGGAGATGTCCATTGATTTAGTGAAGGAGGTTTTTCTGTCTCAACCTAGCAAGGATCCTTTGCTAGGATTTCTCAGCACCTCTTTGATGCTGAGCATATTGTAGGGGCCAGAAGTGGGGTGTCAGATCCCTTGGGAACTGGGTTACAGGTGGTTGTGAGCTACTTGGTGTGGGTTCTGGGAAGCAAACTCGGGTCCTGTCTGTGAGCAGCATTCACACAAGCTGCTGAACGCTGAGCCGTCTCCCCAGTTCCTCGGAGGGTGAACAGTTCTAAGGGAAGTTACTGTGAAAGAGCATGTTAGTGTCCAGCTGCATCTTCATACCATCCTGTAGCCTTTGGACTAGAAATACCCGTTACCACTTCAGCTGGACTCCCATCTGCTGGCAGCTGAACGTGCACATTCAGAAGGCATTTATACAGCATGGTAGATGTGGGCCCATGCATATAAAGCATGCTAAAGCTTTAGTATGGACAGCGTCTCTGTCACCTCGTTAAGCTGAAATAACCGTTTTCCTTGGGCTGCCCTCTAGTTTTTGGTGGACAAGTTGGATCTTCTAGATTATGTTTTGTGTTACCATATTTATTATACATTCTGTTTTTTCCTTTTAACATCATGTCATTTCTTCTTTCGTAGTTCCAAGGCTTGGTCTTGCCTGTGTATGGTGGGCAAACGCTCCCTGAGCTTACATCCTCAGCCTGTTGGTTGCTTAAATAACTAACTGCTTTAGAAACCTATTTGAGGTTTAGGGTTTTTCTGAGTTCTTTAGAGACTAGACTTACTACTGTTGTGTAGCAGGAATTTTAGAAGGTATTATTAATAAAATCAAACCTGACGCCAGTTATTGGGGTAAACACTGGAAGATCAGAGAGACAGAACAAGCTACAACTAACCTCACCTGGCCAACTTCTCAGCTGATCTTGTTTCCTCAGACTGGAAGCCTCTGTGGCTCTCAGCTGAACTGAACTGCTCAAAACCTAAAAGCTTAACCAGCCAAATGCTTCTAGTTTCCAGTCCTCACGCCTTACATATCTTTCTGCTATCTGCCATCACTCCCTGGGATTAAAGGCATGAGTCACCATGCTTGGCTGTATCCTTGAACACATGGATTTCTGCCTCTGGAATGCTAGGATTAAAGGCGTGTGCTACCACTGCCTAACTTCTATGTTTAATATTGTGGCTGTTCTGTCTCTGACCCCAGATAAGTTTATTAGGGTACACAATATTTCGGGGAACACAATACCACCTCACTGTTGCCCTCTGTGAAAGCTGCACTCACAGGAAGCTGCCTGAGTAGGAGGGGCAGAGAGAGGCTTTATGGCCACATTCTACCCGTGCTCTTTAGAACATGGAGAAGAGGACATTTGTTAAGAGTGTTTTCTGGTTTGCTAGATACTCCTTTTTATTATTAAAAATGACTTAGATTAGTTATGTATATACTATTCTTTATGCTTTATCATATTAAGTAACACACATAAATAATTAGAAGTTTAGTATTTTTTCGGTATGTGTTGAGAAATTTTCAGTCAATAGTTGTTAGAAAGTTTGACGTTGTGTTTCGGTTGTTACTTGAGTCTGTAAGAGATAAATGTCTTGTCCAGGCATCTGTTTCTCTGAATCAGTTTGTGTTAATTATGATAATAAATTGGAGGTGCATTATTCTCTTTGACTAAACATTGAGCTAAGGTCTTTTCTTCTCTTTTCCATTTCTAGATGAAGCGTTCCGCCAGCCACCCTGGTTCCTGCAGTTCAGAGAGGTAGACTCACCATTTCTTCTGACTAAATTCTGTCTGGGTGATGCTTCCTTGGGGGAGTTCTTCAGGCCCACGCCAGCCATTGTGGACACCAGCTCTGTGGAGTAGGCCTATTTGGTTTGGGTCCTCACAACAGCTTTCTGTGTATTGCTTATTAGTTCGTGTGTCAGGGGCTGAGTTCAGAAAGGCCCGAGGAAAGGAAACTTACATGTCTGGATTACGCAAAGCTGGCGCCATGCCTGTTGTTGGGGCTTCTTAGGTTTTTGAGATCTATCCAGAAATTCGTCCACAAGTGTGAGCCAGTGAGAAGGCTCAGTGGGCAAGTGTGCTTGCCACCAAGCAATACATTTTGCTAAAAAAAAAAAAAAAAAAAAAAAAAAAAAAAAAAAAATTAATGAAATAAATCAAGTGGCTAGAGAGAAATTTGTATTTGAGTGTTCACAACTGAGGACATTTTATCTCAGCTCTTTATAGTACCATGTGTTCATGCCGGGCTGTCACTGAGAAGGAACTCACTCAGAGAAAAAGCCATATTCATATCAATACTGTAAAAAATTGCCCTTCCAGGTGGGCCCTGCCAGTGTCCGAGCTCCTGGCGCCCTGCACGTCACTAGCCATGCTCTCCTCGGTGCCTAGGCTTGTCCTCTTGTTCTTTGGAAAGTGAGGAAATTAATTTTCTTAGGCATCTCTCTCTATGCTGACTATTAAGTACTGAGCCTTTTCCTCTGGTAATTACATAATCCTTGTTGAACTGATCTGCTCGGAGGAAACCAGTAATTTATATATCCCCAGCTCTGTCGGGGCCGAGAGCATTTTAACAGCTGAACTTTACAGAGCAGTGGAAGCTCAGTCATTTGGCAGCAAACATTTATTTTGGTAATAGAAAGGCAAGGTTTCTAAGCAGTATTTTATCCTTTGTTCCTTGGACAATAGGTTATAAAAAGGCTAAGTAGTATTTTTCTTTGATGTGTCATGGTTGTACAGTGATGTTGAGCCATCGTAAAGCAGAAGCTGAGGTGCTATTAGGTGGTAGTGATTTGCTTCTGGGTTTGCATGTTTAGACTGGAAGGTGTAGGAGCCAGTACTCTCTCTCTCTCTCTTTTTTTTTTTTTTTGGTTTTTCCAGGCAGGGTTTCTCTGTGTAGTTTTGGTGCCTGTCCTGGATCTCACTGTGTAGACCAGGCTAGCCTCGAACTTACAGAGATCCGCCTGGCGCTGCCTCCTGAGTGCTGGGATTAAAGGCGTGCGCCACCACCGCCCGGCCGTAGCCAGTACTCTTAACTGCTGAACTATCTCTCCAGCTCCTAGACTGATTTTTAAAAAACACTTGTTTTGGTGACAGGGCCTTTTGTGGCACAGGCTGGCCTCAAAACTGGACATAGTCCAGCATGCCTCATCCTAATCCTTTTGCCTTGACCCCCTCAGTGCATGGAGGAAGGTGTGGGCCAGCAGGCCTGGTTAATGCAGGGCTGGGGTTCAGACTCAGGGTTTTGTGCCTGCTACATAAGCACCCTACCCACTAGGCTCCATAGCCATGAGAAGTGTTTGTTTTCCGGCCTCCATTTCACCATTTTTACCTTCTGTCTCTGCTGTCAGTGAGTTTACATCTGAACATTTCTAAACGCTTGGCGTCCCCCTCCAGTCTGCTCTGTCGTCAGGTAAAGGTTGACATTAGACATGGGCAATTGTGTAGCCTGTGACGATTCTCAGACATTTGCAAACAACTTCTGTCAACGGCCTCACTGGCCCCTCGTCCTAGAAGCATGTCTTCGGACTCCTCTCTCATTTAGAACATGGCCTCTGAGTTGCTGTTTGCTTTCCAGGCAGACCCAGTTGCCTGCACACTTCTCTCCTGAGTGAGTAGCATGTTGCTAACTACCATAAGAGATTCAGCGTCAGAAGAGTTTCTCACTTGGTTTTTCAAGACAGGGTTTCTCTGTGTAGCCTGGACTGTGGTGGAATTCGCTTTGTAGCCCAGGCTGATCTCAAACTCACAGAGATCCTCCTGCCTCTGCCTCCAGAGTGCTAGGATTGTAGGTGAGCACCATGCTTGGCCTTAAAGAGAAGCCATTTAAAAATTGCAGTCAAGAAAGGGTCTTTTCATTGTTCAATGCCCACAGCTTACCCCTTTTTATTTAACGTGCAGGAGCGGCTGCTCCGCCCTTCACCGACCTCAGCGACGCCACAGAACCTACTCGGACACAGACTCCTGTAATGACGTGCCCCCTGAAGACCCAGAGAGTGAGTTCCACAGTTTCTGGCTCTTCGGCCACTTCAGTACAACTGCCCCCGGTTCTTGTAGTTTCTGGGACTGAGATACACTGTCATTGGAATACTATACTTTGCTCTTCAGTGAATTCCTCAGAGAGAAGTGAACCCCCAACAGCCCACAGCTGCTCATGCATTCTCTCCCCAATAGCTTTGTTATTCTCTTAAGAGGTGCTGGAGATCATTGGTAGATACTTTATCTTGGAGACACATTTTTATTGACTATGTTTTTATCACCACTACGTTTCCATTTTAAAGTATTACAGAAAAATCATTACTTGTAGGTGGAATTCTAGAGGAAATAAAGGTCAAAAATCAGGAAAATCAGCTATGCTAAATTATTTATCTGCCTTAAAATGGCTAAAGAAAGTAATTTTGTGTGGTTTTGACAACACTGATCCCTGTACCTTCCTCCCTTGTTTCAGAGGCAGCAGACTATCATTTCAGGAGAGTCTAGGGATTTCTGTTAAGATTTGTGCTTTTCTCTAAGGAGCAGGGTCTTTCACAGTGTGTCAGGGTATAACTCATTTGATTGCAAGGACAATGGTTTCCAGGGAACACAGATGTCATCTTAGGCTGACATCTCAGTGAATAGACTGTCACCTGTTAGAGTCCTTACCTCCCATGGAGCGTGTGGGAGAGTTCACTGGGATGTGGATCTGATTTCCCTGCCGAAATGGCACCATTCATGGTGGTTCGTGTCTCCAGACAGCCAGGTCATAGAGTGAGATGAGCCAGCGCTGGTAGCTTTTCCTTACCCACCTAGACTCTTAGGCAGGCTCTGTTGGAGGAGGATGTGGTCTTGCTGCCAATATGCAGCTGATTCCAAACACAGCCGTTGGCCACTTTCAAATGCATTTTTTAAAATTTACTTTTTCTTCTTTGAAATTATTCGCGTGTGAAGCATGTGTGGATTTACATGTGTGAGGCAGGGCAGGGCATGGTTGAGTTGGTAATCTTACATTACTCTTTGCTTGCTTTCTTTTTTGGGAGAAGGGACATGTTTTGAGACAGGGTTTCTCTGTGTAGCCCTGGCTGTCTTGAACTCGCTCTGTAGACCAGGCTGGCCTCGAACTCGTAGAGATCCACCTGCCTCTGCCTCCCTGCTGGGATTAAAGGTGTGCACCACCTTGCTTGTCTTTCACTTTCTTTTTGAGGCAGGGCCTCTAATCAAACCCAGAGCTAGCAAACAGGGCTGATCTCAGTAGCCGGCTGGTTCTTCTTGCTTAGGAAGCAAGCAGTTTACCTGCAGGCCGAGATCTCCTTAGCCTATGTTTGTTTTCTGTATAACTCTGGCTGGCTTGGAACCTGTGCTGTAGACTACGCTAATCTTGAACTTTTGGTGTTCCTCCTCCTACCTCCAGTGTTGAGATTACAGGCATGCATTACCATGCCTGACTTATTTTCAGGTATTTAGTAGGCAAAGACATTCACTAACTTAGTTGTTAGGACTATTTCAAACATGTCACACATACATTCATATGTTTATACATATGTCTCAGTTTACCATAAAGTCTCTGAATTGGCAAGGTGAAAAGTGTCATCCTTAAATTTCTTTCTGTTTAATGGTTTAGTTGACAAATCAGAGAATTAGTGTATTTTACATATTAGTGTATTATATTAGTTTATTAGTATTAGGTATATTGCAATCATCAGTTGACAAATTTTTTTTGAGACAGTATCGTGTAGCTAGGTTGGTCTTGAATTGAACTCTATGCACTGGAGGTTGACTGAATTCCTGATCTTCCTGCTTCCGCCTCCTGACTGCTGGGATCACAGACTGAAGCACACCATACCTGATTTATTCTGAACCCAGGGCCTCCTGAGTGTTGTCTGCCACTGAGCTCCCACTCTGGTCCAGCCAAAACTTGTTATATGACAATACTCTTCTTGTAAGGTGCTTTTGGTTTTGAAAATTTGCTTTTGAAGTTCAGAAAAGTAAAACAATACCAGGTGTGGTGGCTCTTGGGAGGTGGATTGTTGTGAGTTTGAGGTTGGTTGGGGGTGTATCCTGAGTTCTAGGCCACCCTACCTTAGGCTGTAGACTGAGATGTTGTTGTCTCAAAGCAGGAAGCCTAAGAAAGTAAGTAAATAAATAAATACAATAAAAGAAAACCAAGGGGCAGGGCAGCCTTGGTAAATTCAAGAAGCCTGTGGAAGTGTAACTGCTCTGGAATGGGATGCTACTAGGCTTAGCTTCCACTGGCAGCTGTGAGCCATGTGGAAAGAAGAACTTCCCACATAAGAAGTCTTGCTAACTTTGCTCAGAAAGGCTCCGTTCTGTGACTAAAGTGTGATCTTGGAAAAATCACATAATGTTTTTTAGGTCTTTGTTTATAGGAAGTTACTAACAGCATAAGACCATCAGGCTGAAAAAGCAGTAGCTTGGTTGATGGCATGTATGTGCCAACCTTGCTTCTGGCAGTGTCCAAAACAAATCCCTGCCTCTGCTAATGACATCGTTTCTCTCAGGGACACTGAAGTTTCTCCTAACAACTCTCAATGGTAGGAAAACTAGTTTCTCTGTCAAATGAGCAAAAGGTTATTAGGAAACTGGTAGAATTTTGTTTCTCTGAACAGACCCGAGATGTTCTTTCACATCTGGAGTCAGCCTGGAGTCAGCAGTGCTTAGATGTTTAACTTGCCAATCACTTTTCACAGGACCTCTTCACTGTTCAGGAAACACCCTTAATGGAGATTTGGCCTCAGCAACCATTCCTGAAGAAAGCAGACTCATGGCCACGACACAATCTGAATCTGAAGAACCTCTTCCATCCTTCTCTTGAGGAAACGGACACATCCAACCTCCTCTGAGTGTTGCTATGCAAACGCTGCTGTATTAAACTTGTTCCGGGGTAGCTTCCCCTCCTTAGGATTTCTCTGCACTTTATAGAATATTGTAAACAAACAACCCACATACTTTTGAAGTGTATTTTATCTTTCTATAGTTTACTTGCAAGAGTATTTTCCTAATGACTTCACAGTATGAATGTGCATCTTTTCTTTTTCTTTTTTTTTTAAACAAATGATGGTGTAACATTTTGACATCCATAAGGACAAATGTAGATATTTTTCTAAAAAACTGTGAGGGACTGACGGCTTGGTCAGTGTGTATTGTAGTATATAAACATGAAATCTCGCCAGGTTTGTTTGACAGAAATGTGATAGATGTAACTTGTGCCATGGACCAAAAGGTCACGTCACCCCAGCTTCAAATTAATTACCATAGCAGCTTGATGGTGATTGGATCACATTCCTTTAAGCAAAAAAGCAAACACTTAATATTCTAAAGGTCTTTAGCCCAAATGCCATGACATATTGAACATTTAAAAAAGGAATCAGACTCTGCTGTCCTTCATATGTGAAGTTGACACTACTGATTTGTCAATATCAGACATCAGGTTACAGTGTTTAATTTTTATTTATTTATTTTCTTACTGCATCAGAAGATGATTATGTCCTAACTTTTATGATCTCCCCAACTTAAAATGTATATGCATTGTTGTTATTTACGTTGTTTTAAGCAAGGCAAATGTCTCAGTGACCTTGTTCACTTACACCAGAGAAATAAATGGCTTTCAATGGAAGAGGATTTTAGTGCTTTTTTTTTTTTAAAAAAGTAGGCATTAAGCTGCTGTTGTAAGATTTGCTGTATGATTTGCAGCTCTTTGGCATACCTAGAGACATTTTTAATTTATAAATATTTATACAAAAGAAGTAATCCTGTCAAGATGACTGTTCTATATCACTTGAGAATGGCATTATTTAATTAAAGGACAATTTGCATTTTTTGGTGGTGCCTGTCATATCTATTATCAGTGTTTGCCCTGTAATGTGTTTTTCTTTTAAGTCACTTTGGGGTGACGGTCTTATCCCAGAGCTTGAATGAGCAGCACTTTAACAAAAATTGGCTTCGTGTTTTTAAGTTAGTCATATTTAATAAGTATGTGGTTTTTACATTCAAATTCATCATCTAATACACTGTATCTTTTACATTCATTAATAGATATTAATGAATTAGATATTCTGTCTAGTCTTTATTAAATGCCTTTAGTGTTCTTTATTGGTTTTTATTTTGTTTCAGTGTTCAGGCCTAAGGTGAACATATATCAATCATATATTTAGCTTATATATCCTATTAGTTTAGATGGATGGTAGCCAAATATTTTATATTTACTAAAATAAGTCTGTACTTTTGCCTAAGTTTAAAGTGATTATACACATTAGTATATATTTCATTTAACTGCTTCTAAAAGTGCTCGTCATTTAAAATGGCAAATGGGTCATTAGATCATTCTTTTGTTCAGTGGAATCAGCCCCCTCGTAACTTGTATTTCATGTATTCAATTTGGAAAAATTCGATTATGTAGTAAGTTTTCATACTGATTAGGCGGTCAGTCTTCTTTTAAAGCATACGAACTTGCAGACTGTAGTCTACTGATAGTTTTTCTGGAGGTGTTTCCCCATGATGGCGACAGGTTTATAATGAAAGTACTAAAATAAGCTTTTGAAGTTGTAGGAAAATAGGAAGTTCCATTTTCTATTGCTTTACCCAAGTAGACAAGTTTGTGAATGATTCCTTTGTAACTATTTTAAGAACAGGACGTTTTTAGTTTGCATTCTGCCCGCTCAGCATATACACACTTGAAGCAGGAGCTTTGGTAGGTACACCATCTCCCTGAAAACACGGCCTTGGAGTCCTTTGTCCTGGCCCCACACACTTGTGGGATGAGTTTTTTGAGGGCATATATCTTGATTTATATGTAGATGTTGAATTTTTTTTTTTCTTTTCGAGACAGGGTTTCTCTGTGTAGTTTTGGTGCTTGTCTGTAGACCAGGCTGGCCTCGAACTCACAGAGATCTGCCTGGCTCTGCCTCCCAGAGTGCTGGGATTAAAGGCGTGTGCCACCACCACCTGACTTGAATTTTTATTTTCTTTTAAGTTTTTATTGTGTTGCTCAGATACAACCTTAGCTCCTAGGCTCCAGGGTTCCCTCTGCCTCAGTCTCTAGGTTATCTGGGACTATGGTTATCTGCCCCTGGTTTCTGTCAAGGTTTTAACCCATGAATGAAGTAAATTATGAAGCTTAAGGGAATCTTGCATTTTGAGGATGAATTGTGCCTGACATTTCTGGATTTTAAGAAAACAAGAAGTAAAGAAGTACTCTGTAAGAACTTTGGCTAATTGGTCATTGATTATCTTTTGCTTAGGTCTAGGGCATGGATATTGGAGATACTTGGAGACTCTTGACTTCTAAGCAAAAAAGTACTTGCTCTTCATTTCTGGTGCCTGTTCCCTCTGTGTTTGCAGAGTTTCCAAGATTAGTGGGATCTTGAGAATTGTTCTGTAAATCTGAATTTTGTTATGTCGTCCTAGCGATGAAACACCACGACCAAAAGCAACTTGGAGAGGAAAGGGTTTATTTAGCTTACGCTTCCATATCACTGTTAATTGAAGGAAGTCAGAACAGGAAGTTAAACAGGACAGGAACTTGGAGGCAGGAGCTGATGCAAAGGCCATGGAGGGTGCTGCTTACTGGTTTGCTCCCTATGGCTTGCTCAGCTTGCTTTCTTACAGAACGCAGGACCACCAGCCCACGATGGGCTGGGCCCTCCCCCACTGATCACTAATTAAGAAAATGCCCCACAGCTGAATCTTATAGAGATACTTTCTCCATTGTGGTTCCTTCTTTTCAGTTGACTCTAGTTTATGAAGTCGACATAAAATAAGCTAGGACAATTGTAGCTAGAGTTTTCCTGATCCTGCCTGGCCCATGGTCAGGACAAATCTCTCTCACCCACCAGTCCAAGTAAACACAGAGACTTATATTGCTTACAAACTGTATGGCTGTGGCAGGCTTCTTGCTAACTGTTCTTATATCTTAAATCAACCCATTTCTATTAATCTATAAGTTGCCATGTGGCTCGTGGCTTACCAGTATCTTAACATCTGCTTCTCATTGTGGCAGCTGGCAGCATCTCTCTGCCTCAGCCTTCCACTTCCCAGAATTCTCTCTCCTTGTCCCGCCTATACTTCCTGCCTGGCTACTGGCCAATCAGCACTTTATTTATCAATCAATCATCCACAGCAGACAATTGTGTTGGGTTATTTCCTCAATCAGGACAAATCCAGAAGTAGATTCTTAGAATGATGTCCACAAGAAACCTCCATTGTCATGGCGACACCCTACCTTAAACATTCCGAGGACTCCCAGGAGGCCATTCCCTCAAATCTGCCCTCAGGAATCAGGCAGAATATTTTGTCAGGATGCCCAAGGAAAAGAAAAACGTGTGTTTTGTTTTTACTTTAGGACCCAGTGATACAGTTTCTAGAAAACGCTTGCCTTTATTGCTGCCCCCACCATGACATCCTGGGTCAGATAAGCATCCTATTTCCTGGCTCTTGTAGATGCCAATAAAGTTTCAGTGTTCAGTGTTTCTAGCCTCAGCTTTCTGGGAGGATGACAAATTGGCTGTACTGCAAATGAGGTTTTTTTTTTGTTTGTTTGGTTTTTTTTTTGTTTTGTTTTGTTTTGTTTTAAAACGGAATAAACTCAAGGGATTTTTGCTGTTGTCTCTGTTTCAGAACAGTGACCTTCAAAATGGCACAGAGCCCAAGCTGCTTCCCCCTAAAACAGGGGCCTTTCACTCTTGACCTTTCGCTGTAGAATAGGGTTGGCTCTGGGGGTGGGGGCAGGACAGTGTGGGGCAGCAGACCTGGCTTCTGAAGGTCCAGGTCTGCAGCTCCCTGAGTGACTTCGGGCCCCATGCTGGTTAGCTGTGGTCAACTGACACAAACCAGAGTCCCCTGGGAAGAGGGACCCTCGATCGAGGAACTGCCTCCATCAGGTGGGCCTGCCTGTGGCCATGCCTGAGGAGCATCTTCTTGATGAATGACTGATGTGGGAGGTAGGGCCCGGCTCACTCTAGGTGGGACCACCCTTAGGCAGCTGGTCCTGGGTTCAAGAAAGCCAGCTGAGAAAGGCACAGGCATGGAGCTCGTCAGCAGCCTTCCTCAGTTGCCTGCCTCGGTTCCTGCCTCGAGCTCCTGCGCCAGCTTTGCTGCATGGATTGTGATCAGGAACTGTAAGCGAAGCAGATCTTTTCTTGCCCTAAGTTGGTTTTGGTCAGTGTTTTTTTCATCACAGCAAACTGCGACAGAAATATTCGTCATAGACGCTGGATTTCAGTGTTCTTCCGCTTTCAGCCTTCCCTTCGGTGGGTTCCTCCGTTGGCTGAGTTCTCCACAAGTGGACTTTGTTTCTACTGCCAAGGCAGTTGAGCTGCTTGTGTGCGTGCTAGCCGGACGGGTCTGTTGATGTCACCTCCTCCCACTGGAGTTCTGAGGAGGGAAGTGGGAGTGGAGGGGGCATAGCTGGCCCTCATGGATGTGGATCGAGTTCTGCAGCTGACTGGGCAACTAGTAGGCCCTTTATCCTTACCTGCCCAGGACCTCCAGGCAGATGATGGTGTTTTTTGAGCTGGCGGCTGCCTGCCTGCTAGGAGCTGACTTCAGTCATATGCAGCAGTTTTAGGGAAGCGTTCTGACCCCGTGTTCCGCTAAGGCTGTTTGGTACCAAGGCTCCCTTGAGAATGCTGGAGTTGTCCCCTTTAACTCAGGATTTATACCTCTTTAATCCCTAGCAAGAAACCTTAGTCCTTAAGGCTCTGTTGTTTCCGGAACTTCTGCTTTGGGAGGGGCCTCACACAAGGCCTATTAACAGCCTTTCCCAACTGAGGAAGGACAGGGAATTCAGAGCACCAGGTCCCACACGGGTTTAGGTGACATTTGTCACTTTCTCTGCTTCAGGAGAATCACGTAGGAATTTCTTTATTAACAGACATCCTGAGGAACAGAGGAAATACTCAGGAACACTCAACGACATACAACCGAGCCTTTGTAACCTGCTTTGGGATGCAGATCTCTGGACCAGCCAATGTCCAATGTCCTGTTTCCCAGCAGGCCACTTTCTCCTGATGCAAGGAAACTGGACTTGAGTAGTTGGTCTTTCCTGTTGGACTTTTCTTGGACCACCATCCCCCAAATAATGACATGGAGACTTACTATTAATTACAAATCTTGGCCTTTAGCTTAGGCTGGTTCCCAACTAGCTCTTATAGCTTAAATTAACCTGTTTCTATTCATCTCCATTCTGCCATTGTTGCTTTTTACCTCTCCTTCATTCTGTATGTCCGACTCCCTCAGTGTCTCGCTGGCATCCCCCATGTGCCTAGATTCTTTCCAGTTCCTCTCTCCTCAGAAGTCCTGCGAATTCTCTCCTGCCTAGCTATTGGCCATTCAGCTTTTTATTAAACCAGGTGCCTTAGGCAGGCTGCATTTATTTCTCTTGTGCAAACCACTCACTGGTACTTGTTTGCACATGCCCTAGCAAACCAATACTTTTGGTGAACATCAGTGAGACCTAGGGTAGCTTCGCTCTCCTCCATAGTGGCCCCTAATAAGAATTATTGCTAGTATATCTTGGGTGCCATGCTAAGCACTGCTGTATGAAATTTACATGTAGTAACTTGCCTGATGCTCCCAACAGTATTGAGAGTGTTGTTCCCGTTTTATTTTTTTTTTTTTTTTTTTTTTTGGTTTTTCGAGACAGGGTTTCTCTGTGTAGCTTTGCGCCTTTCCTGGAACTCACTTGGTAGACCAGGCTGGCCTCGAACTCACAGAGATCCGCCTGCCTATGCCTCCCGAGTGCTGGGATTAAAGGCGTGCACCACCACCGCCCGGCGTGTTGTTCCCGTTTTATGGATGAGAACACCAAGGACTGGTGAAGTT